TTCAACCGATCCAAAACGTTGGTTTGACCGATTTCCGCACGACTTATTCATCCTCACCTGTGCGGGTTGGCTAGCTTTGGCAGTGCTGGGGCAGGCTGACATCTTAAACGTTTGAATGAACCCATAGAACACATTAAGATCAACAACCGCGTGGTGAACAAGCTTGTTTTCCGCTATCTGAGCCCTAATGGTTCAAATCCGGCTCCAACTGTGTGTTTGTGTGGAAGTGGTCGCTGGGTCAAAAGTTCTTGTTCTCATTGTTAGTCTTATCTAGTGCTATGTAATGGCATGACAACGAATAACTGAAAACGAACTTGTTTGCCAGGTTGTTGCTGCTGTCTCTGTTCTAAATTCATTTCATTAGTGGAAAACGGTCTCATTTGCTTTCCATGACAGCGTTTTTATTGTTGACATGATCCTACATCTTTTCCGCCGCCAAGCTTGAGCCCAAATTCGCAGTTTAGTTGCGACCCGGTATCGTTTTTGCTCTGTTGTTGAAGGCGCGTTAGATCACAAACAGGCAAAGATTCTGAGGTTAAAAATGTTGCAGTAAGCAAAGGTTAATGTTGTAAAGCTTGGTAAACAAGGGAGGTGTGACCTGTGTTTGTTATGCACTCGACCGTCCGAATGGTATCCAATGTTGCTGGGGAAATTAATTGATGACAGTCATGGAAGCATAGCTGCGCTCACTATGTTCATCATCCTTGGACAGTTCATGTTTACATAGTTCTTTAAATGGAATCCTCTTTAAATAAAGCTTAGTTACGGTAGGCTTTCATTTCATCTCATGACTTCTGGTAGGGCTTATAAATTCAGGACAACATATCTCTTGGGCTAAATGAAATGATTGTTTTCTACAACGGGTGGCGCGTTTTGGAACTCACTCGATTTTAAGGGAGTCGAGCGACAGACCATTCGTCGGAAATCGAGTGATATAACCACAACCAAACCGATTGAGGTTTTATTCATGTTTACCTGTTGCCAGTTTGAACGTCATAAAAACGGTACTTGGCACATTTTGAGTCTGTTTCGATCACGCTTTTCCCGGTCTACTGATACCGGGCAATCCGGTTTTCCGATAATCTTTACCGTTGAGAAAGCACCCATTCATCACTTGAACGATTACATACCAATCACCAAATCCAGATTTCACAAAGTCCCTGCAAAACACACTGGAACAGACGTTCAGTAAATTAAAGCAGATGAACTATTTTTCTTAATAATTTGACAGGTTTGATTTTTTGATGCATCAAAAACTGTTTCACTTAAACTAATTCAGTCCTACAGATTGCACCAAATTGTTCCCCGATGCGGGCATATTATTAGTGACCTTTGTGAATCAATGCACAGCGAAGCATTTGACAGCATGCCAGCTGCACAATATGTCAACTTCTTACCTTCTCGTTTATTCATCATACTTTCAAATATCAACCACATTTGTAAAAGATATATATCCTCCACATTCACTGACCTCAGAATGTTCCCATTCTTGGGATCTGACTCGCTTTAAGCGGTATGGCGAAAGGTTTTGCTTGGAGGATAAATAGTGCTCGGTCGCTTGTCGCTTGTGCTTAAGCGAAGAAATAACGTCTAAAGTTGATGACCATTGGAAAAGACGAAGTCCATTTTTATCGTGTATCAAACACGAGCGAATTCCAATAGGCGAAATAAGCTGTTTTTTTCTTGTTGTTGATTTGTTCTTAATCACTCATTTAAGTGAAATCTGTGGCTTGATAGAGTTCCATAACTGCGTGTTTCAAGGTCAAATGAATTTCAACAAAGCAGTCAGTCGTAACATCATCATCAACCGAAGTCAAATTTCACTTTGTAAATGGCATTTAGGATACTTTACAGTTTGATGAAGTTCGTCGTGCATACAAGGCAAATGAGGCGTGAGCTGAAACACCAAGAAGTACTGTACAGAGAGCTATTTTGACCTGGTTGGATCTCCTCAGCAGTATGCGAAACCATTGACACAACTGGGGGTCAAACCCGGAATCTCAGAGGTAGAACACAAGTATACTAGCCACTCGGCCACCGGGCAGCTGATCAGACCGTTTTCTTTTCATTTTCCATTTTACACGATACAGCACAACCCATCCTTGCTAACTTAATGCGAGCATCGCACCTTGCACACCTCAGTGCTTGCCCCCGGGTTATGACTCGGGTGAAAAAATTTCATATATTACACGAAAGCCATGAAGGATCTGGTTAGATCACATGATGGCTACGTTCTGAGGTCCCGGCTTCGATCTCCAGCCGAGTCGGTGAATTCACATCAGTAATTCGACCCGACCAGGTCGAAATAGCTCCCAGCTTTTCAGTTCACACTTCATTTGCCCTGGAGACGACGAAATTCACCATATGATCAAGCTAAATCCACCAGTTCCCTTGTATAACTTCACAATTTTCTTAATACATAGATCAATGTAACTGGAGACGAAATCGAGTATGAAATCGCAAAATGCGCGCATTTGCATTAATTGACTACCGTAATGAGTATGGTTTTGATCTTTGGTTTTTGACAAAATAGAGAAAGAGAGAGAGAGAGACAAATGATTATTCAATCTGGATCGCAATCCTCCGCGTTTATCTGATATAATTGGGATACAACAGTTAGATATTCTTCTCTTTACTTGTCTAACCATTAAATTGATGTACTTTATGAGTTGAAAGACGTTTGCCAATACACAACAATATCCCACATCACTTTATTGCTTTCACCGAAGCGGCTTGGAGGCCATTTCTGCACGAGATCGATTGCACTGTAGTTTGGAAAACACTACCGCACAAAACTAATGATTATGCTTTAAATCTCCCTCAAAACGACGACTCTATGAACCACTTCATTAACGAGCTTTCCAGGTTTGAGAACAAATGTGGAGATTGCAAAATTATGATAACCGGCCAAATCAAGGGTGATACGCGTGACTGATAAAACGATCTACCACAGTACGATAACCATGTGAGAGTTTCATTTACAGCTGTTAAATACCAATACCGTCTGACAGTGACCACGTCAATTCCTCCTATCACTGAATCGATTTTAAATGATTTTGTTACGATGGAGAAAAACGGTAGTCAATTTACTTTGCATAAAATTGGAAACTGTACAGACAGACCAATGGTGTTATCATGTGATCTCCCATCTATCAAACCTCTTTTTGCATTCAGTCGAATTAAAGATACTCTCCAGTTTTGATATAGCACCACGTTTGTACGTAAGATACGTAGACGATATGTTATTATTATTATTATTATTATCATTATTATTAAGTCACAACATACACATGCGTTTCTTGATCGTCTAAACAAACAGTGCAGCTGCATCAATTTCACAATGGAGTCAGAGGATGTGAACAGTCATCAGTTTTCTAGACTAGCACCTCAGGGTGAACGCCTCACGCAAATTTACCACCAAAGTTTGCAGAAAACGGACACATTCGGATAAACTTATACATTTTGAATCAGCTCATCCGAAATGTGTTAAACGGATTCTTATCTCCTCTCTGGCTGACAGAGTTAAAAAGCTCTAAAATGAAGACAATAACCACCAAATTGAAATGAAACGCCTCAAAAAGTGCTAGAAGACAATAATTATTCGCCACTGCTGATGAGAACCCAGCCAGAAGCGCACAAGCCAATGCTACAACCTAATGATAAAAAACACCGTGTAGCCTCTATTGGCATTCCATATAGATCAGGTACATCGGAAGCAATCAGAAAGATTCTCGGCGATTTCAACATACACACACATTCTTTCGGGTTGACAACACTCTGAAATGCCATACCATGAAAGCCAAAGATCCGGTCGATTTACAAGATCAAAAAATCGGTTGTAATGAATGCCGCACAAAATTCATTGGGTAGACTAGTAGATAACCCAAGACAAGAATAATCGAATATAAGAGAAAAGAAAAAACACCGGCCTACGAACAAAGCAATTCTGGCAAAACAATAGAACGATACTCAGTGATCGCTCTTTACACCATAGCCGAAGGTCACACCACAGACTACGACAACCCAAAATTACAACAACTCCTATGCCGAAGCTTTGGCCTCCAACTCCTACTCTGCATACGTCAGTAGAAATGAAGGTATCGATATCCCGAGCATTTGGACTACCCTAACATCACCAACGGGTAATCACGACAAAGGTCGTGGTGCCACTTGACCCCATCTTATAATGGGAGTTAGTATGACAGACAACGAATCATTCGGCCTACCACAAGAATGCACACACACACACATACATACACA